TGTATGGGCCGTATTGTTTCTTGATGCCGGTGGAGGATCTGCCGAGAGAACAGTAGCTGAGGGTGAGGCCTGGGAGCACTGCACCCCTCACCATGCCCGTGCTGCTGACACGGTCAGAGTCCACAGTATCAGGACTGACGGGCACACAGAGTCAGGCTGCAAATATTTACTGAGTGCCTATTAAATGCTGGGCACAGGGGGGCAGTGGTGACCAAGGCAGATAACTGTCCCTGCCCTTCTGAAGTTAATTTACAGGGAGAAACAGTAATAAACCAGGAGAGCGAGTTGCAGGCAGTATCAATTCCAGGAGGAAAGTAGAACACAGGGACTGACTAGGAGTGGCTTGGGTCAGGGGTGGGGATGGAGAAGGCTAATGTAGTTTGGCTGATAAATGCTTCTTGGAGGTGGTGAAACTTGTGCAGAGATCTGAGCGGCAGGAAGGAATGCAGAGGTCAAGGCATGAGGCTGCCAGGCCAAGGGAACAGCTAGTGCAAGGCCCAGCAGCTCAAATTAGGACAGTTGAACAAACAGCAATAAAGACACCATGTTGCAGGGGTGAGGAGAGTCCCTGGTAGGCGTCTCAAAGCTCAGTAGGTACCAGGTTTTGGGCTTTCGAGTTTGGCTTTCATTCTAGTTGCAATTGGAAACCATTTCAGGGTTTCAAGCAAAATGGTAAGGTTCTCTATTTTACTTTCTAAAAAGTCCTTTGGCTGCTTTGTAACCTATAAATAGACTGTAGGGGCAAACAGTGACCAGCTAGATTACTGCAGTAATCCAACCATAAAATGAAGAGTCTCTGCTCTGGCTACAAACAGTGAAGGAGGTGAGAACTGGCCAAATTTGAGATATTCTAGTATTTTATTGACCAACTGGACGTAGAGGGCAGAGAAACAGAGGAATCAGGGATGACTCCTTAGAATTTGGCCTGAACAATGGGGTGGGCAGTGGTGCTGTTTACTGGGACGGGGAAGGCTTGGAGGTAAGCAGACCTTTTAGGGGGAAATCAAGCGTTTGTTGTTAACCACGTTAGGTCTGAGGAGCCAGCTAGACCAAGAGGAGATGATGGGCAGCAAGTTGCCTACATGGAGTCCTTGGAAAGGGTATGAGCCATAGATGAAGACAGAAGTCGGCATGGCTAGTACTGGAAGCCACAGGACCACCTAGGAGTGGCAAGGGCAGGGTCTGGATTCTGACCAGTGAGGCAGAGCAGTAGGGTCTTGCAGGCCAGGGGTTCTCACCGATTTTCCTTGTGCACCTTTGACACCTGCTTTTGGAACAGGTACCCCCTCAAGGCCTCCACATCATAGAAGCGGTCAGTCAGGAATTGGAGCAGCATCCTTCCCTTCCTCTGATTGCCCTCTGGGGTCACTGCACTGCTCAGACCACGGATACCGCTGGTACCCAAATTCCATATGGGGGCCACCAGGTGCAGGGACTGGGGAGGAAGAGAGGAGAGGCTGAGCCTGGAGAGCCTCCTGTGAGACCGAGCTGCACCCCTCTGTTCTGTTCTTGGTTTATGAA